TTTTAACTGCTACTGAGTAGGAGATTTGTTTCTTTTCTATTTATGTACTTTTTCATACTTTAGATCAGTGTAGACCTGTGGAGATTTATTTCATCTTTGGGTTATAATCCAACAGAGCTTTATTTTCTTGCCCAGACTGTTTCAACTTTGGCTGTAGGGAGTTCTTTCAGTTGGCTCCTGTGTTCCTGATGCTTTGACAAACTCCCATCAGTATGGTGGTTTTTTCTTTTCCCAATATTGATTGATTGATGAATTTTCAGTGTACTTCCTAACTTTCCGGAGTCACAAGATGCTCTGAGCTCATTATCTATCCACTGTATATATTTCCTGGCCCAGTGCTTGAATCAGCGTTTCTCCAAGGAGTCCTGGTTCCTTTTACTGGGAAATAGTAACAGAAATCAAGATCTGCGCACTGGGTGTGCCTGTTGCTCCCAGGGAATCAGTTCATTTAGGCCCTCCCAGCTGACAGAGCAAGAACATTTGTATGTATACGAACTGTCCCTTGAATATACACTTATCCAAAAATGTTTCTGTATATAACCCTCAACATTTAAACTAAACAAATTCTTAACTGATGTCTCCAACTCTAATCCACTACTACCTGGATCACCCTAGCTTCTTCCTGATATTTGAAAAAGATTTTTTTTTGTAGTTCTTATAATATGGTAGCTAGATTCAAATTCAGTTTTGGGGCAAGAATATTTCATTGGTGGGACATTTTCCTATCATTTTAATGATGTTGGGAGCCATTGATGATCATTTCCTAGGATCTCTTAATTCTTTAAAGTTTAAAAAACAGCAAAGTTTTGATTGACTTCATCTCTCTTTTGGAGAAGACAATGGCAACCCACTCCAGTACTCTTGCCTGGAGAATCCCATGGACAGAGGGGCCTGGTAGGCTGCAATCCTTGGGGTCACTAAGAGTCAGACATGACTAAGCGGCTTCATTTTCACTTTTCTGCATTGGAGAAGGAAACGGCAACCCATTCCAGTGTTCTTGCCTGGAGAATCCCAGGGACGGGCGAGCCTGGTGGGCTGCAGTCTATGGGGTCGCACAGAGTTGGACACGACTGAAGCGACTTAGCAGCAGCATCTTTCTTTGAATAACTGGAATTCTCTATAGAAAGAAAAACCTGGTTTTTCCAGTAGTCATGTACCGATGTGAGAGTTGGGCCATAAAGTGCTAAGTGCTGAAGAATTGATTGCTTTTTAGCTGTGGTGTTGGAGAAGACTGTTGAGAATCCCTTGGACTACAAGGAGATCAAGTCAGTCAATCCTCAAGGAAATCAGTCCTGAATATTCATTGGAAGGACTGATGCTGAAGCTGAAGCTCCAATACTGTGGCCACCTAATGGGAAGAGCTGACTCATTTGAAGAGACCCTGATGCTGGGAAAGACTGAAGGTGGGAGGAGAAGGGGACGACAGAGGTTGAGATGGTTGGATGGCATCACTGACTGAATGGACATGAGTCTGAGCAAACTCTGGGAGGTACTGAAGGACAGAGAAGCCTGGCATGCTGCAGTCCATGCAAAGAGTCGGACACAACTGGGCAATTGAACAACAACAACATCGACTATTTGGTTGCCTGAGGTAGAGCTCTTTTCTCATTTACTTAAAAATCATGAATAAGTTCCCTTAGCAGTCTCTGAGGCTGAACACTGAGCTACTTTTGCTCTTGAACTGGGAGCATCTCTGGAGGCACGTGGCTCGGCTCTGGACCTTTAGCCCCCACTGCTGGGCAGTTGGCCTCAGGAGGTGGACAAGGAGAGGTGGGGCAGGGGCTGGGCTCCCCCAGCAAAGGCCAAGAGCAGTTTGGAAAGGCAGGCCAGGCCAGAGGGTCTTGATGGCTTCCATATTCATCCATCCTGAAAAAGCTCCTGTCTCCAGTCATGTTCTTGTAGAGCTATTGTCTTGGTTTCATAGTTGTTCACGTTGCCATAAAAATAGCTAAATTAAAAGTCTCTTTCAAGCAACTATTAAAGAATAAGAATACAACCTCTCAAAGCCCGGGAAAAGGCATGTTCGACACTAAATCCCCAACGAAGCCCTTCTAGAGACAAACCAAGTCACCTTTAGAGTGTTATGGGTAAGGGTTAAGTTTAGGGCACAGTTCTCATCCCTGGTTCCTTACCAAGAGTCACCTCAAACACATATCAAAACCACTTATGGGACTTCCCTGGTGGTCCAATAAGAGTCCGCCTGCCAGTGCTAGGGACGTGGCTCAATCCCTGGTCCAGGAAGGTCCTACATGCAGTGGGACATCTGAGCCTGTATCACAACTACTAGCCTGTGCTCTGGAGCCTGTGCACTGCAACAAGAAAAACCACTACCAGAGTAGTCTCCACTCACTGCAACTAAAGAAAGCCCAAGTGCAGCAATGAAGACCCAGCACAGCCAAAAATAAATAGTTAAAAAAAAAAATCCACTTACGCCTCAGTGCCACTTCCAGAGATTCTGAATCCCTTTGTCTGGGGTGGAGCCTTGGAATTGGCAAGGTTTTTTCTTTTATTATATTTTTGTTGTTGAGGTATAGTTGACATGTAATATTATACAAATTATAGGTATACAATATAGTGATTCTTAAGTTTAAAGCTTATACTCCATTTAGTCATTATAAAATGTTTGCTATATTCTCCATGTTGTACAACATATACTTGTAGTTTATTTTATACCTAGTATTTGTACCTCACAGTCCCCTGCCCCTCTATTGCCACTCCCCTTTCCCTCTCCCCACTCGTAACCACCGGTTTGTTCTCTAAATTGGTGAGTCTGCCTCTTTTTTGTTATATTCACTAGTTTATGGCATTTTTATTAGATTCTATAAAGTGGTATCATACAGTATTTGTCTCTGTTTGACTCATTTCACTTAACACAACACCCTCCAAGTCATTCGTTTTTATGGCTGAGTAGTATCCCACTGTATTTGTACCACATTTCTTTATCCATTTGTCTGTCAGTGGACATTCTGGTTGCTTGCCAATTGTAAATAATGCTTTCACAAACACTGGAGTGCATGTATCTCTTTCAGTTTCAATAAGTGTTTTTTTGTTTGTCTTTGCCTTGGTTTTGAATATATACCCAGGAGTGGAATTGCTGGGTCATATGGTAGCTCTATTTTCAGTTTTTTGAGAAAACATCATACTGTCTTCCTCAGTGGCTGCACCAATTTACCTTTTGGTATTGGCAGTTTTTGAGCTTTTTGCAAAGTTTAATTGTTTAACCTTGGCAATTTCCAGACCCCTGGAAATTTCTTAGATTTTTCTAGAACTCTAAGAGGGGAATGACTTATATCACACATACAGTCTCATCACTTTGATTCACTTGCCTCTGTCAGTAGATGCCATCTCTGCCATTTATTAAGAAGACTAAGCTAGGAAAGACGATCCCTGGGACACCTCACTCCATCCCCACCCTCTACCCCACCCCACCCCAGGCTGAGGCCTGGTAAGCTCCAAGTGCTGGCCTTTACACAGCTCTCTGGCCCACCCTGAACTCCAAAGATAGCTACATTTACTGTGCCTAGCACTGTTCTGAGCGCTCTAAGTCTCTTAATATCCCTAATAGGTTGGTACGTGCTCAGTGTCAGGCTCTTTGCAACCCCATGGACTGCAGTCTGCCAGCCTCCTCTGTCCATGGGATTATCCTGGCAAGAATACTGGCGTGGGTTACCATGCCCTCCTCCATGGGATCTTTCGCATCCAGGGATCAAACCTGCATCTCTTGCGTCCCCTGCATTGGCAAGCAGATTCTTTACCGCTGAACCATCTAGGAAGCCCAATAGGTTGGTATATGCTCTACTTAACAGAGAAAGAGTTGACTGACTTTTGCTAAAGCCAGCCTCTCTCTGGGAGGATTTTTGGACTTTTTCTTACCACATGCTGTCATTTAAAGGCTGTGACTCCAAGCCCAGCCTCTCTCAAGAAGCTGACTCCTCCTATCCTTTGTGTAACAAATACTGACTGCTGATGAAGAGAGAACCTACATAGAATGTAGGGCCTGCAAAAAAGGTGGGGAGGCTTAGGATGAGGGATCCTGAACCCCTGTTCCTCACTCAGCATCAGGCCCTGAGGAGCCCCCAGTTCTGGGCTGTTCCTCACCTTCCTTCCTTCAATGGTCTGAGCCTAGAAAGCCTTGGACACTTCTACCTATGACTGACTCTTGCTCTCTCTCCTTCCTGCACCCAACAGGGTTTCAAGCACAGCCCTTTCCTCACCCTTTCCAGGAAAATCTCGGGGTCCTGTCCATTCTATCCAACACTTACCGCCACCCCCAAGTCTTAACCAGAACTACACCCCCACACCCCATCCTGTGATACCCATCCCAGAAAGTGACATTGCCATCCATCCAGGCTGGAAACCCTGCCATCACCCTGGCAAAGCATCCCTCCCCACTCACTCAATCAGCTACTGAGTCCCTGCAGTACCACCCTCAGGATGGCTCTTAAACCCATCTCTGTCCCCACTGCACAGGATAGGTCGACGCTCTGAGCCAATTCTGCTCTATTCCCTTCCCACCGCAGGCCAGGGGAACCATCTAGGCTAACCAGGTGTGGCTCCCAGGACGCATCCCTGTCCCTAATTAGATACTTAAACTCTACTCAGGCAGAAAACCTCTGCGCACGACTCAGCAATCCCAACACTGGTGAAGTACCCTGAAGACAGACTGTGACTGCAGCACTATCACGGTGGTGGGGGGGCGGGGGGGGGGGGGGCGAGACTCCCGCGTCCGGGATCCCGCCACTCCGCAACCCCCGCCCCGGCCCAGTGCCACTTTCCGGATGCCCCACTGGGCCTTCGCCTTCCCCGCACGTCCCGCTCTGATTGGCTGTCGCCGCTTCCGCGTCCCGCCCGAGCCCCACAGGGAGTGGCCCTGGCCGCCGGGCCCTGCAGGGATTGGTCCGTGCCACCGCACCCCGCCCCGGGCCCTGCAGGGATTGGTTCTGGTGGCCCACGCCTGCCCACCTGGGCCTTCTGCACCGCAGAGCTGGGGAAGGGAGGCCATGGCCGGCATGCGTAGGCTTGAGCTGGCGGAGGCCCTGCAACTGGGGCCGGGCTGGCGGCACGCGTGCCACGCGCTGCTCTACGCACCGGACCCAGGGCTGCTCTTTGGTCGCATTCCGCTACGCTACGCAGTGCTGGTGAGGAGGGGGCGCTCCCGGCCACCGCCCGCCCCCGCCCCCGCCCCGCGGCCAAGCCGCCTTGGGCGTCCCCGGCCATCCCAGCTTCCCTCTCCCATAGATGCAGATGCGCTTTGATGGGCGTCTGGGCTTCCCTGGCGGCTTCGTGGACTTGCGCGACGGCAGCTTGGAAGACGGGCTGAATCGCGAGTTGGGCGAGGAGCTGGGCGAGGCTGCGGCCGCCTTTCGCGTGGAGCGCGCTGACTACCGCAGCTCCCACGCTGGGTCCCGGCCGCGCGTTGTGGCGCACTTCTACACTAAGCTCCTGTCCCTAGAGCAGCTGACTGCGGTGGAGATGGGCGCGCCGCGCGCCCGAGACCACGGGCTGGAGGTGGGGCCAGCCCAGGACCCCACCCCGCCTCCTCCATCCCTGGAAGGCCTGTCCCCGCTGCTTCCTCGTGTATTGGGGTCTGGGTGATTAGTTACAGCCATCCTGGCCTCCCTGCAAAGATCTTGCCCTCTCCCCTGTTTGCAGGCCTCTGCATTGCCTTTCTAAAACTCAGCCACCCAAGTCACTCTTCTGCTACCACTTTATAATGGCAGACTTGGCACTTCAGGCCCTATTTTTTTCTTGCCTGTTTTTTGGAAAACTTTGGCACTTAGGCTAGGGGAGAGAGGGATAGATTGTATATGCTAATCAGGATCATCTAAGAGGCTTATTAAAACAGTGATTATTGACCCCACTCCCATAATTGCTCAGCTGGGGAGGGGAGAAAGACATGAGAATTTGAATTTTTCAGAAGTTCCTAAATAGTGCTAATGTGGCTGCTTTGGGTGCCAAATTTTGAGAACTGGTGTAGCATGCGTTTTGGAGGTGGGAGCCACTAAGGTGGTGTGGGAAGGGTTGGCATTTGTGAGATGTATATAGCATGACCTGGGTTATTTGTCTACAAAGACCTGTGCCCTCTACGTCCCCAGAGGTGTGCATGCTCAGGCCTCTGATCTAGAAAGATCTGGCTTGGATGAGCTCCCTGAATTTCCAGAGTCTCCTGTCTCCTTCCTTTCCCAGGTGCTGGGCCTGGTGCGGGTGCCCCTGTATACCCTGCGGGATGGTGTGGGAGGCCTGCCTGCCTTCCTGGAGAATACCTTTATTGGAAATGCACGGGAACAGCTGCTGGAAGCCATCCAGAACCTGGGACTGCTGGAACCTGGCTCTTTTGCACGCCTTAAGATTTCAGCTCCTCCCTAGAGGCACCCCTCCATGGACCCATGAAACCTGCCTGAGATCAGGGCCTTTATACTGGGGAGGCAGGGAGGAAAAAGGGAATGCTTTCTCTTCTGGGCCTGGGCTTGATGGATGATAACAGATTAAAAGAGTATGTAATGTGTTCTAAGCAGAGGACCCCTTGGTGACTCATGGCATCAGTGGCAAAAATCTGCAGCTCATCCGGGGGCCTGGCAGATTCTCAGAGCCTGCCTCTTTTCTTTATATTTGTGCACACACTTCCCTGGTGGCTCAGTAAAAAATCCGCGGGCAATGCGAGAGACCTGGGTTCTATCCTTGGGTTGGTAAGATCCCCTGGAGGACGGCATGGCAACCCACTCTAGTATTCTTGGCTGGAGAATCCCCATGGACAGAGGAACCTGGCGGGCTACAGTCCATGGGGTCACAAAGTGTCGGACACAGCTGAGCCGCTAAGCACACACATAAGCTGATGCCTCCCCCCATCCCTTGTGATGTCCAGTATAAGCAGGAAGTGACATATCAGCATACCCACTTCCTTGCTGGGGAGGAGCTTCTGAACCAGGGAGAGTCTTTCTCCACATTCCTACATGGCTGTTCCCAGCACATACTTGTCAGAGAAAGCAAAGAAGAAGAGGGACCTGTTTTTCCCCCTGAAAGTATGGTCTCATCCTTGCCTAAGGGGTTGGTCAGAGCAGTATCCCCCAAAAGGTGGTAGAGGCCCTAACCTACCCCCTGTCCTCTTCTGAACCTGAGCAGAAGGGATGAGGAAAGTGTTTGGCCTCCTTGGACTGACCTTGGACTTAAGACTCCTGGGTTCTGGTGCATCTCCTCCAGGGTTTTCACTTGGGACCCCTTAGACTCTGAGGACAGTGAAGGGAGCTGGCTGTGCCCTGCTGCAACATCCCCCTAGTAAAGAAGGGCTATAGCTGGGCTTCAAAGTTCTTCAATCCCTTCAACCAATTAACTGTATTGGGTACTGTTGATCTAAGGATGAAAGAGCCAAAGATTTTACTCTCTGTGCAGCCAGGATATTTAAAGAGCCAAATGGTAGGTATCTGAGGCTGAGTAGGATACATGGCATTTGTAGCAATTGCATAACTGCCATGGCAGAAGTAGCAATGGACAATGGGTGTGACTGTTCCAGTAAAACCATTAAAAAAAAACCATTTAAAAAGGTGTGGGCCACGGGTTGCCAACCCCTGCTCTAGAGAGGAAGATACAATAAATTATGATGCTTATTTGCTTGTTTTATTTATGTCTGTCTGTATCAAACCAGTCAATCTTAAGGGAACTCAACCCTGAATACTCAGAAGGACTGATGCTGAAGCTGAAGCTCCAGTCTTTTGGTCATCTGATGCGCACAGCTGTCTCATTGGAAATGTCCCTGATGCTGGGAAAGATTGAGGGCAGAAGAAGAGGGCTTCAGAGGATGAGATGGCTGGATGGCATCACTGATGCAATAGACATGAAATTGGACAAACTTTGGGAGAGGGTGAGGGACAGGGTGGCCTGGCATGTTGCAGTCCATGAAGTCACACAGTCTGACATGACTGGGCAAGTGAACAACATTAAGAAGGAAATAAAGGACAGCTGCAGGTTCCACCTTGTCATTTTCACTTTTAGTTGAGGTGGTCTGGAAGGGCCTCTGAAGAGCATTTAGGCTGAAGGATGGAGCCAGAGAGGAGTGTGGGGAGAGGCTTCTGGATATTAAGGCCCTGAGGAGGAATCTTGGCAAATTATCCTAAAACAAAGGTAGGAAATGAGACTCCACTTCTCAGTTAAGGGTGGCAGGGGGTGATGCCAAGAATTTGCAGCCTTCTTTACCAGAGCATGGTCTGGGGAATTGAAAGGACCAGTATAATTAGACTAAAGTACGCAAGGGGAGGGGCCTCCTTGGTGGTCCAGTGGTGGGAATCACCAGTCAATGCAGGGGACTCAAGTTCGAACTTTGGTCCAGGAAGATCCCACATGCTGCGTAGAAGCTAAGCCCAAGTGCCACAATGAAAGATCCCACATGCTGCAACTAAGAACTGACACAGCCAAATAAATACTTAAAAAATAAAAAATAAAGTAAGCAAGGGAAAGTAAAGCAGGAACCAGACGTGCAGAGGCCCACAGTCCGTGGTCATGGGTGAGGAGTGTGGAACGAGGCCTGGAGAGGGTAGGAGGGATGCGGGAAGTGGTGCTGATCTGGGCCCGGATGGCAGAGGAGGTGGAGAAGTGGGGATGCTTGAGAGATGGCAGCAGCATTGACAGGCCCTTGATGGGCTGGCTGGAGGATGGAGAGAGGACTTGGGTGACTTTTCAGTTGGTGTCTTAAGTTGTTGAAATTATTGTTCAGTCACCAAGTCGTGTCTGGCTGCGACCTCGTGAACTGCAGCATGTCATGCTTCCTCGTCCTCCACTATCTTCCTGAGTTTGCTCAAACTCTTGTCCTTTGAGTCAGTAATTCCATTCAACCTTATCCTCTGTCACCATCTTCTCTCCTTGCCCTTAATCTTTCCCAGCATCAGGGTCTTTTCCAATGAGTCAGCTCTTCACATCAGGTGGCCAAAGTATTGGAGCTTCAGCATCAGTCCTTCCAATGAATATTCAGGGTTGACTGCCTTTAGGATGGACTGGTTTGACCTTGCTGTCCAGAGGACTCTCAACAATCTTATCCAGCACCACAGTTCCAAAGCATCAATTTTTTGGCACTCAGCCAAAGAATCCACCTGCAATGCAGGAGACCCTGGTTTGATTCCTGAGTTGGGAAGATCCCCTGGAGAAGGAATAGGCTACCCAGTCCAGTATTCCTGGGCTTTCCTGATGGCTCAGATGGTAAAGAAGTCACCTGCAATGCAGGAGACCTGGGTTTGATCCTTGTGTTGGGAAGATCCCCTGGAGGAGGGCATGGCAACCCGTCCCAGTATTCTTGCCTGGAGGATCCGCATGTACAGAGGAGCCCGGCAGTCTATGGGGTTGCCAAGAGTCAGACAATACCGAGTGATTACACGCACACACACTTCTTTATGGTCCAACTCTCATATCTGTACATGACACTGGAAAAGCTATAGCTTTGCCTGTGCGGTCGAAATTATGGATGAAGGAAAAGCCCGGCAGAGCTGAAAGGGAATCACATGAGCTTTTGGAGGGGGTGGAATCAAGGTAATTTTGGATGTGTTGAGACCTAAATTTGAGTCATTTGCAGAAACATGGTGTGATCGAGTTTCTGGTAGAGCTGCTGCTTTGATCAGAAATGTTTGAGGAGAGTGCCCGCCACCTTCCTGGTTGCTCAGCCCAAAGGCTTCTGAGTGAAGCAGACCAGGGCAGACACGCAGATGTGGGAAGAGGTGCCTGGGACTTTAATGGCACGGGGTACTTTTTTCCCCCAAACACTTTCCTCCACACAGAAAAATGAACAGGAGAAAAAAAAAAAAAAACTAGCGAAACTGATGAAATTAGTGAATGGCAACAGAATTTGAGCCCAACTAATGAGTGCTGGACTTTGACCTGCCTTAGAGATGGGCAGAGAGCAGGCGGTGGGGGATTATACCTAAAACACATTCACTTCTGAGGAGGAAGGACATGGCATAGAGAAATATCCACCGTGGCCCTAAGGTCACAGAAAACTCCCAGGAAGAGAAACCACATGGCCTCGTCCCTTCCCCACCACCCCCATTCCCCTGTTTCTATCTGATTCTGAGGGAGGCGGATGCAGGAAAGGGAAAGTTCAGATTACGTCCAGGTAAAGGCAGCCTGGCAGAGACCTGAAAGCAGAGAAAGGAGGCTGTCTTGTGGGCATCTCACCCCTGCTCCCCACCAGGTCCTGTTACCCTCCACAGGCATTCCTAGCAGGGACAGTGCAAGGATTTCTCCTTCCACTCAGATGACTTTGGTGGGGTTTTCAGTAAAAAAAAAAAACAACAACAAAAAAAAAACAGCCTTTGGGAAAAGTCCAGGGAGGGCAACTTACCCATAGCCCTGGACTCCCAGGCTCTTCTGGCTGTTGAAGGACAGACTGATCAGTTCACAACATCCAGTTGTCCAGGACTTGTTCCAGGTAAGGATGTAGGCAGAGTTGGGGTTAACAGGGAGGGGAGAGCAGATGAGTGAACCTGTGCTTGTTTGAGGGCAAAGAAGTGAAAAAATCACCTCTAATTCACTGAAGTAAACAGGAGATAACACGCATCTGTTCATAAAGGCACACGAACACCAGCAGTAAATAATAAAGAGCCTGCTCCAGAAAACTGATCCCAACCCACAGAGGCAGTTTTGCTCAGGAAATTTGAGGAAAACATGGACTAAGAGGAAAGATGGGATAAGATACAGACAGCTGGCAGCGTGGAGGATAGTGTTTAAGGGGCTAGATTTCTATCAGCTTGAAATTACACAAGGATTCTTTAATTAAGATTTTATGCACTATGATCCCATGAATTTCAGATTGCATACAGCAAATCTATGGAAAATACAAGGAGAAATTAACAGGAGATGACTGGGAAGCCACAAACCCAGTTCCTTAATCCTTGGCAGACAAAATTCCATTTAAGTATAGAATCTAGGATACAAAAATAATGACCATGATGGCAACAATTAAGCATGCTTACTGTGTAAACACTTACTGTGTTGTGGACACTATTCTCAGCTCTTTTCATGTATTAACATCTGTAACTTAGCCCAGCCACATCATATAGAGACATTATTATGTTGTCTCCATATTCCAGATAAAAAACTTTGGCACAAAGTCCGACAGAATAATATACTTTCCCTAAAAGATAAATCCTGAACTCTGTTGACTGACGGAGAGACTCTACCTTTAAACATTTACCAAGTTAGCTCATCAGCAGACGAATGGATCAGGAAGCTATGGTACATATACACAATGGAATATTACTCAGCCATTAAAAAGAATTCATTTGAATCAGTTCTAATGAGATGGATGAAACTGGAGCCCATTATACAGAGTGAAGTAAGCCAGAAAGATAAAGACCAATACAGTATACTAACACATATATATGGAATTT